ATAGAACTTAAAACAGTGTCTGATCAGTGGTAAGTTGCAGGCACGTGTTATATCTTAACATCCCCTGTAGTGCTCATTCCACTGTGTAGAAATCTTAGTATTAGTTATTCCCTCCTGCCTTGTATCATTTTTCTTTTTCCTTACTGCAGCTTCTTGCTGCCCCTCCCTTTGTCTTTCTTTTGTTTGCTAGTGCTGACTGAGTAGAGAGAATAGCAAGTGTTCCCTGGAGCTTTGCAATTTCTGGAAGCATGTAAGAGGGCCCTTCTTCTGTGCTGTGCCTGATTTTTTTCTTGCTCCAACAGCCCTAACCCCTGATCTGTTGGCAGACACCAGAGGATGCTGCCAGCTTTTGGTTATTCAGAGGCTCTTTATCCAGACTCTTTGCTCTTCTTTCTGGCTGCCTGCCTCTTGGCTGCTAGACGCTACCTGGCATTGCTCTCAGAGGGCACACCAAGGAGGGAAAAGATAGCAGAACTCAAATTAGCCAATTACGGGATTTAGCAAATTAAGGCTTTTGGATCATTGGGCTTTGGTTTTCTGAGCCATCTCTCTCCTTTATTACCATGAGAAATTCAGAATCAGTCTTTTGCAATGGCAGTATATTTTTCTTTGTTTGAGGTATATTAATTAAATACATATGAAATGCATGGATCTCAAGTGTTCAGTTTAATAAGTTTTGGCATATATATATACATTCAGGCAATGACCACCCAAAATAAGTGGCAAACATTTCCATCACCTTAGAAAAATATCTTATTCCTCATTCTAATCAATTCCCCTCAACTCTCCCAGTAAAACTTTCTGATTTCTATTACTATATATGTTTTCCTCATCTTTGACTTCAGATAAATGAAATCTCACATATCTATTCTTCTGTACCTGGTCTTTTATTTGGCATGATCTTGAGATTCATCCATGTAGTTGTGCATATCAGAAGTTTGTTCTATTTAATTTCTGAGTAGTATTGCATTCTATGAATGTATCCTTTTTTTTTTTTTTAATCCATTCTCCTCTTGTTGCACATTTGAATGAGTTCCACTTGGGGACTGTTATGAATAAGGCTGCTATGCACATACTTATAAAGGTCTTTTTGTGTAAATATGTTTTCCTCTGGGTAAACAACTGGGGATGGAATTTCTGGGTCATAGGTGGACATATATTTAGTTTTATAAGAAACTGCCAAGCAGATCCCATTTTACCCTGCCACTGACAATGTATGTGATTTCTAGGTCTTCAATAAGCTCACTAACATTTAATTTTGTCATTCTTTTTTTAGTTTTCTGGTGGGTAGGAATGGGTATCTTATGTAGCTTTATTTTATATTTTCCTGATGACAAATGACTTTGAGCAGCTTTTCACCATGCTTACCGACCACCCCAATATCTTCTTTTGTGCATTGTCCTTTCGAGTCTTTAACAGTAGGGTAGTCAAGGCAATTTGACCCATATTTTTTAGTCCCTGCTCCACTTGGAAGCAGATGCTTCTGACACTCTTCCCATACCTTCTTGGCACTTACTTTCCCAGAATATGTCAACAATCTTCTGATACTTTCTACATGAAAACTTTGTTTTGGCCTATGTGTGGGGCAGGCCAGAAATGCCAGGGAATTAATGCTGCCAGGAGCAGCCCTCAACAAATGATGAATGGGAGTCAGAGGTTAATACCCCTGCCTCCTTGCACTTTAGAATAAGGTAAAATAATGCTGATGCATCTCCCACACTGTCTCCCAAAGGTACCAGTGGAACTGATCTTTAGGTCTCGGCAGGCAACTTACTCAATGAAGCAAACTTATGGGCTCCTCTTTTCTCGGTTACATTTCCTAGTCTCCTATTTGTTTTCTCTAGGATCACTTCCAAAAGGAACTACTGGCACTTAAGTTTTTGTGTGACAATCACATTCTGGAGAAATGCAACAGAGATATCTCTTGCCAAAGGCGTGTGTTGGGAGATAAGAGCTATTCTGTGAGAGACTAACAAAGAGGTTTAATGAGTTATCTGGTGAAGTTGTGACATTAATTTCCTGGGTAGCCATACAAATAAAGGGACCAGATAAATATGGCAGAAAATCAGTTGTCAGTGCCTTGTAGAAATAGAAGTTTCTGTGGGCTGGTGGCCGAGGGTTGGAATAGCCTTTTGATGTTCTTTGGGGTAAGATCAGAAAAAAAACTTAAATGAAAGACTAGAAGGCTTGAACTTTGCCTCACAGATAATAGAGAGCCACTGAACATTCTTCAGCAGGGAGTAACACAATAAAAGCAGGTTCTCGAAAAACTAATCAAGTGTCATTGTGGACAATCCATCGAGGCTTAAGGTAGGAGGTTCTTGATATAGTTTAATATAAGCAGATAAAATCCTATAAATGGGCAGTGGTAATGGGAGTAGAAAGGACAACATGAATTCAAGAACTATTGAAAATATTTGATAGAATTTGATGACACTGATAATAGAAGTGGAAGGACAGATAAATGAATCAATGTTGTTCTAAAGCTTCAGGGCAGTTGGTTTCAAAATATCGCCGTAACACTAACAGAAATAAAGAAATCATGCGGAGATGAAATTTTAAAATAAAACAACTCATTTAATTTTATACACAGTAATTTAAATTTTGGTTCCATTTGGGGGGACTGATAGTTATACATCCATCTCCTGCAGATGTTTTAAGATTTGGGACTGAATTTTGGAGAGAGTTTATACTGCTAAATTATATCTGAGAGTGTCATCTTCTTAGAAGTAATACATAAAGCTTTGGCCACGAATAAAAAATCACAAAGGAGGAAAGTTAACAAGACTGAAGATCACAGAACTGAGGGTTAAGCGCTGGCCAAAGGACTTACTTGGGGAGAACAAAGAGAAAGATAAGCAAGTAGGTGAGACCAGCAGGTGCTCTCAGAGGGTCATGGAGCCAAAGGGAAAGATGTGGGAATAAATACTGATAAAGCCTTATGAGGTCAGAGCGAATGAAGATTCCTTGAGCTGTGGAAAAGCTGATGCAGGATTTTGACCTCATTAAGTTCTCAGACTGGTTGGAGAACTGAAATACACATATATGGGGAACACTACAAAACAAGGTAATCACATGCTAATGTGTTTGAGCCACACTGTGGGAGCTCTGTGAGGGCAGGGGAGCAAGGGGAGAGCATAAACTACAGGCATTAGGAATGGGACTAAGCAAGAGGTTTAATCTGAGCATGAGCTTTGCCAAAGAGGCAGAGAAAGGAATTTGGAGGAGGAAGACCACATGAGTAAAACTATTGAGGAGAGACTGATGCTTTTTGGGAGCATAACATAGGAAATGAAGGTACTTATAAACTTACTTATGCATTTACTACCTGCTTTCCCAAGAATTTTAAGGTCCCTGAACCAATCTACATGTGAAAGGATGAAGGCCCTAACCACATCCAGTCTTGAATGAGTCGCCTATAGAATCAACTGAGCTGATGAGAGGGATTAATTTCAGTGACTATAGATGCAGAGCAGAAGCCAAAATACTTTCAGGCCCAAAGGTAGTTTGTGAGCTGGCTGGGACAGGGGTGGGGTACACTTATTTGCTCTTTGAGGTGACTGGGTATGTGTTCAAATAACAGGGCTTTTTAATATAAATATGGAGTTTCTGTACTTAGAGCCAAGCTCAGAGATCCTAATTTTATAAAAGTGCAGCATTGCTTCTCCAACACAGGTTGTCCTAGAGAGTATGCAGTATCATACACCTCTGCTTTGTTGCACCTGTCCATCTCATTCAACTATTTTTGGGACACTTGGATAGACCGTATGGTTAGGATGATGATGGAATAAGGCTGGAGACAGATTGTCAAATACATTTGTCTACCTTAACAAAGCTCTGTTCCCTAGTTTTTTAATATTTTAAATTGTTTACCAGTAAATTACCGATTTCAATTATCTTTTTCTTTTCCAAATATTTTGAGGCTCTTAAGAGAAAAAGAACACTGCCTCACACCTTTGGACTGCTGAAAACCTTACCTTCTTTTGGTTACTCCAAGATGCCCAAACCTGTCTTCAGTAAAGCTGATCCTCTAAGTAGCTAATAGTATTGGATTCTAGTCCAATGGGAGCACAGTCTCAGATCAAAGTTTCTTCCCCACTGGGTTTCCCGAACATAATGTCAGTGAGATTAGCACATTTTCTCACTGATTAAGTTTGCATGTGCCCAAAGATTTATATAAAGCCACTCACTTGGGTAAGGAGGTATTGCAATTTGATAATATAAAGTATTCTCTGAAAAGAAGCTATTATATGCCTTATGTGCCATGGCCATCCAAGGACAAAGAAGGACAGAAGATACAAGTGAGTTTTGTTTTTAGTTCATTCTACCCTTTATGCACTTATGAATGACCAGATATATTTAACATTTGGCAAAATGATATTTTCCTGTTTCTGTATTTTTATTGGTAGGGCGGTTGGGGGTAAATGATGATTTCAAATCCTTCATCATTTTACTGTCCTTGGGTAGTGGGATGGTGACATGCTGGAATAAGATTTCTCCTGTTGTCTCCCACGGAAGCAATAGACTGATGGAATTTCAAGACCATTTAGAGTCAGGAACCAATCTGTGCCTCAGTCCACTTCTCGTAAACCAAGACTTTTGTTTACTGCATTCAGATGAGATGAATGGTCAGTTTCTAAGGTGCGTGCTGTAATGAAAGGAGTTTATGTAATTGGAAACATCACTGTTACTGTCACCACTAAAATATATCACACTTCTGAAGGGTGGAGTTGAACACTGCAAATGGGAAAAAAAAACTTCAATATAAACAGTTTCAATGAGCCTTTGTGTTTTGTGATCCAGTCAAAACTCGAGTGGTGAGAAAACACTTTTAACCTTATCAGAGCAATATTTAATGCCTCTTCTTAAGAAATCAGCCATTTCCTTTAACCAGCTGAGTCCTGTGTCATGATCATACAGGAGAATGCATGCTGCTAAATAGAATTGGCTTGGGTTTTATGCAGAGCTGTCTTTACATTGCGTTTTTTTCTTCTTGATAGTCTAGCTCCACAGTGAGAGCCTGTCAAACTAGTAAGTCTCGAGTGACCATGAGCCCTGGCTTCAGCTCCCAGTGGAACAGCAGCCAACCAGCCTGGAATACATACTCCTTCCCAAGGGCCAGCTTGCACTACCAGTCCCACACCAGCTACACCTACTGTACTGGACACCCTGCTGTAAGTCCCCTGTTCTTCTGTATTTATTAAACTGGATGCTTCATGCAGGTACATTTTGAATACACAGTTGGTATCTGCTATTATCTGGGCAATTTTTCCAAAACGATAAGTCTTCTAAGGCAAAAATATGCTGCTCTTGAGTAAAAGAGATGAGCAACAGAAAACGTTGTAAGTGTTCAAATGGCATATGTTTGGATGATCGTTACTGGAAACGGATGTTTCATTTAGGATCGTTACTGGAAATGGATGTTTCATTTAGAATGATTTCTAGGGGAAAATTTTTGGAATTGTGTTGGTGTGGAGACTGAATGTATGCGTGGCTCTGGGTTTTTTTTCTGGCTTCTTCTTGGATGTTGCTTATGAATTTAGTGGTTGCTTTTGCCCTGGGAGAGAGTGTCTTTCAAAATGACCCAGAGGAGTCAGTGGCTCCTGTACGTCCCCATCTTTATCTGTGCCTGTTGATGCGAGTTAAACAGAAATTAATGTATAGATATACATTCATCAGTAGTGTATTTTCCAGTTTCCACTACACAGAACTGAGAATATTGGCGTAGGTGCTCAAAGCACAAGAGAAGTAAACCTTACTTGGGAGAAATGAAGCCATGGACTTTGAGAACCTTCTAGAATAGGGTACATGTTTCTGCCACTATGTTTTTTGTGTCTCGATCCAGCCCTCATGAACTAAGATTTTTGTTATTGTAAATTGCGCTTGCACACTTGGAAAAGATCATGATGAATGTAAGTTCGGAAGACATCTGTTTGCTGCTGAAAAATTCAGATACAAGTCTCTGGGGGTAATGAGACCTTGAAAGTGAGTCTTCATGCTGCTCCTAGTAACCCCTCCAATTGTCACTTATTGTGGACATGGGTTTTTCAGCCATTCCAAAGATGCATCGTGGACTTCTGCCCTTTGTAAAATCCTGTTTGCTTTTCAAGGTTCTAGAATTATTAAGTGTCCTAAGCTGCTAAATTGAGAGAATGTGTCTCAAATATCATGTCATAAAGTCACTTTAAAGAAGACTCCAGAAATCCACTTAAAATGTAAATTGGTATAACTGTTAAAAGGTGATTTGGAAATAACTATCAAAATTTAAAGTGCTCACACCTTTGACTCAGTAATTAAACTGTTGGCATTTAATTGGACATGCATAAGGCTGTATGCACAAGGACAGTGCTAGTAACATTTTTGAAATTACTTTGAAAAAGAACCTAAATATCCTCATTCATTTTAATTCATCCATTCTTTCAAAAAAAATAATTAAGTATTCTTAGGATTTTATTTTATTTCAGTATTCATCTAGGCGAAAAAGACATAGTGGTGAACAGGAAGACCCAGTCTTATTCTCATGAAGCTTCCATTCTAGGGATGGGGAAAGCTAGAAATTACATAAATAAACATGTGAATAAATAAAAAGAGGCAAATAACCAGGGGTATATACAGTAGTGTTAAATGCTATGCAGAGACTCAAAAGAGGTTGAAATGAGAGAGAAGGACAGGGCGGCTACTTGAATTATAAAGTCAGCCAGTCCTAAAGAGGGAGGGCAGATGTCATCTGAGATCTGAATGGAAAAAGATTAACTATGCAGAGTTCAGGAGGAAGAGAATCCCAAGCAGAGAAAACAGTGTAAAGGGCCTGAGGTAGGCGTGACCTGGATAATCACCATACAGAGAGAAAGCCATGGGCCTGGGGCTCAGCTGGGAGAGACCAGTCAGAAAGAAAGCGAGGGGTCACAGTATGGAACACTTTGTAATCCAGAGTAAGGAAATTGATTTTATTTTATTTAGGCACCATGCAGAACCACTGGAGTATTTTAAGCAAGGAAATTCTATGACATCATTTAAGATTTTTAGCACTCACTCTTACTGCTGGGTGAAGAATTCCCATAGAAGAACAAGAAAGAAATCAGGGAATCAGGTTAGGAGGGTATTACACACACACACACACACACACACACACACACACACACACAAATATACACATGCTTGTTTGAATGGTTGCTTCTATAGAATGGGACTAGAGCTCTGTGGCAACAGGAAAACTTCTTGTATATCTTTTGATCCATTTGATGTTCATCATAATATAAAAAGAAAAGTTGCATATATTTGGCAATCACATTTTCTTTAGTAACCAGTGGCATATTTGAAATGTCTTCTTAGCTTTTCCCTTCAGTCATTATTTGCCAAGCCAGATTCTCATTGGTCTCAAGGTTATCTAAAAGTAGCTGATATTTATTGAGTACTACTTAATTGTTTCCAAGCTTTGTAACCAGCTATTTTACGTGTATTTTGCATGTGTATATATTCAAAATAGCCCTCAGAGGTAGGTACTATTATTATCAAATTTTTTAAAGATAAGTGAAATGAAGCTCAGAAAAATTAAATGTCCAGAATTACATAGCTAATAGTGGGACCTGAGATTCAAACACTGGCTGTCTTGCTTTCAACCAGCATTCTTATCCTTGCCATTGCATCCCTGTGTTTCTATTTACATGCTGAGAACAACCATTCTACCTGAGATAGAACTCTTTGACATCATTTAAGTGTGCGTGTTACTCCTTAGAGAAGTAATTGTCTTTAGAAATCTCCACTTTAGGTCTGGGGATAGGAAAGGAAGAATGGGTATTATCCTGTCTTGGAAACTCCTGAAATAAGTACAGGATATCCAGCCACTTTTTGTGCCTTAAAGTCTAGGAACTGATACTTTTTTTGTGTGTGTCACACCACTGAGAGTAAAGTGGATCAAGTAAGGAAAGTAGAAGCAGAAGATTGGAAAATACTTAAAAAGTAGTTGTGGGTGTTGTACTTCTGATTTCAAGGGTACTCTAAGGGTCAACTTTAAAGTCTACTTGCCATTCTTCCATTATTTCAACATTTAAACTTTTCTTCCACATTTTGCTGCCATCAGATGGCGTTAAACTCTTGACTCTAAGATCAGTGCCTATTTAGCTCTCCTACTGCCTTGTGAAAGGAATGATATCATCTGAAAGTAAACCAGAGGTTCTATATAGGGAGACTCACAGAGCTGGTTTATGATAACCACATCCAAAAATATGGACTGCCTCATTCATAATTTTTATTTGGGTCCATTTTTCAAGCCAAAGTACTAGAGAAATAGTTTGGCTTCCAAAATATGAAAGTAGATTCCATAGTTGCCATGTAGTATAAGATCCACAGAGGTTTTGTGGTTAAAACCACAGAAACGTAATTCTTGTCTGAACAGATTGCCACTAATTTTTTTGAGTCATATAATTTAGTAGCCTTTAATGAAGCTATAAATGCTTTGCCTGTCTTGTGAGATTCTGGCCCTTTTCTCTAAGTTACTAGTTTGATTGAAGATTTCCAGATCTTAAACTCATTTCCTGGGGTTGCAAGGATGTCAGGCAATGTGATGTTTGTGTGGTCAATACCTGTGACTCAAAGGGCTCTGTTTTGTTTCCATTCCCCTGCAGCTGAAGAATCCTCATACCCCATGCATGTCTGGGCAGTTACCTTGAAATTGGTATCCCATAGAAATCTCAGAATGCAGTCAGGCCTCCCCTGACCAGGCCTCATGGCCTTGTACCTTACTGTATTGGTTACTAATGGCTTCTGTAACAATTACTACAAACCTGGGGGCTTAAACCAACACATATTTATTCTCGTAGAATTCTGGAGGTCAGAAGTCTGCGATGGCTTTCGATGAGCTGAAATCAAGGTGTTGGCAGACATGCACTCCCTCAAGAGCCGCTAAGGGGGAGTCTGCTCCTTGCCTTCTGTAGCTTCTAGAGCTGCCTCCCTTGCAATCCTTGGCTCATGGGCCCTTCTCTAATCTTCAAGACCAGCAGCAGAGCATGTTCAAATCTACTTCTCCTCCATCTTCACGTTGTCTTCTCTGCCTGTAGTTGAATCTCTCTCTGTCTCTCTCTTGTAAGGAAATGTGTGTCGTTACATTTAAGGGCCCATCCAAATAATCCAGAATAATCTCTCCATTAAAGAGCCTTAATTTAGTGACATCTCCACAGTTCCTTCTGCCGTAGAAAGTAACACTCATAGGTTCTGGATATTAGGTTGTGGGTATCTGGTGGGCTATTTTTCAGCGTACCACAACCATGATATTCAGTGATTCAAGGGCCACCTTCAGAGCCATTAGGTAATAATTTAGGGCTTTCTGAAATTGATGAGCCTTCTCACTGAGGCAGATGATGGGAGAGGGTTCTGTGAGCATAAGTTTAAGTTTTCTGAAACCTATTGTTTTTTTTTCACTTCCAATGTGAGATGATAACTATCCCATTGGTACCCACCCCAATGCTTATCTTAAAAGAAAATGTGAAGAAAAGATTATTGAAGTTCTGCTAATGTTTAATCCATTGCACTAGTAGATGAAGAAAGCCTGCAAATGCAGAAACCATGTTTAGGTTATCTCAGATAATCTTTTCAACTTGGGATATAAAATGGCAAAAGGAAATATTTAAAATATTCAAGTAGCACAGCAATACAGTTGATTATGTAAGTCAAATACTAAATATACCATACTCATTTTATTGCCAAAGGAAGTTAATAACATATCATGTAAATTTCTTACCTAGTCATATTATTTGTAACATATTTCATTCATAAAATAATTCTAATAAATTCCAAATAGTATACTGACTAGTGTGTTGATTTTGATCTATCATTTGATACTTTTGCCAGCAGCTTAATGATAACTGTTTGCTTCATGGCTTGACATGGGGAACTACATCAGATTTCCAACTACTCCTATGAATTGGTAACCATTAAGTGATCATGTTAGTCATAAAAGAAGGGGATTCATTGGGATTCATTCACAATGGGATTCCTTAGGCTACCCTTCATACTAGCACTCTACTCTCCCTACATCTGCTCCTCACTTGCACCTTGCTCTTCTCATACTTGAAATGATGTTACCGTTTGGGTAATCTTAGGGAGATAGAGAAGGGAAATGGAAAAAGATGGCGATTATCTGATACTCATTGCTGAGGCTAGCAGCCTGTGTATTATTTTCTCTTTCTCTGTTGAGAAAGTACAATATGCTTCTATGCCCTACTGAGGCTAATCAGGAAACAGCTTGTGCCAACCATGAGCCAGTGACCAGGTAGAACCCAGCTAGTAATGAAGACAAAGTAGAATGGACTAAAGATAGGAAGAGAGAAAGAAAATTAAGTAATAGAAATGTGCTCATTGGTTGAAGTGGCCTGGAGGTGGTGAAGGCTTCTGGTAAGGCTGTTTCTCCTTCAAGAGCAGATAAGGTAGGTAAGGGAGGAAGAGTGGGCAGCCTGGTGCTAGTGCTAGATTTCTGTTTCTAAAACAATCTGCAAGGGAAAGGGTGGAGACATAGAGCTGTCTTGCTGGAAGACTGTCTCTTTTAGTCAATGACTAGGTTTCTGGGAGTCTGCCTCTCTAGGAACTTGTTGACAAAGCACTGGGACAACTGCCTTCCATCAAAAGTTAAATTGTCAAATAAAGCAAAGGTTTCACAAACCTATCAGAAGGGACATCATCCCCAGTGAAGGCTTATAGCTGTCAGGGCAGTTGTCTATATCCATGACCTAGTAGACCTCCTAGCTGCTTCCAGAACCCAGACCCCACTTCTCCCCATGGGCAGGGACAAGATTTCTGTTGGAGGTTTATGGATGAGACTAGAAGAGGTTGCAAGTTTCATTTCTCCTATTTAAGTCTATA